GAATATCGATGATGTTATTTCTATTATAAACATTATAATTACTATAATGTTATAAACATTAGTAATAGCAAAATAAGATAATGTAAAATATTTTCGAAAATTAAAGAAAAGGGTGAACGGGCAGAACAGGCAGTACTCGTAACTGGCTCATTGGTGACTTAGTACAAGTGTAGCCATCTATGTGTAAAATCAATCAAATAAGTAAACTCACAGTGGGCATGGCATGGTGTCCCCGTCGGCAATGGGTTAATGTATGTGGGGCAGCTTGTGGTGAATCTGGTGTATGCACAAGTGATGGAACTAGTTTTGGTCTGAGCAGTAAGTCTGACTTAACCCATTCGCAACACGTGGCAATAATAGATGCCATACCCACTTTGATATACGTTAATATATTGTATTTACACATAGATGGCTCCATAAGTTCTTAATCACCAAATAGCCAGTTATCAAGAACTACCTATTTCACCTGTTTACCCTTTTCCTTCATTTTAAGAAAGGGATTTTTGTATCATTTCATTGTCTAAAATATTCTAATGGCTTATTTAATAATCACAACATCAGTAACAATAATAACAGTATCGATAGCAATGCTATTAATTTTCCCACCAATTCAATGAATGGGAAAATCAGGGTCAGTAACTAGGGCCTACTGATAGACTCCTTGCTGGCTGAGCACATGTGGAGCCATCTCTATGTAACAAAATTCACCAAAAACTACAGAGGACAGAACGTGAATCCGGGGCAAATGGGTTAAATAGGGATTATGACAAGTTGAAGCTCATGTACTAATTGACTCCTTTCTGGCTGAGCACTTGTGTGGAGCTACCTGGGTGTAAACACATTTCCAAAATAAAACTACAATGAACATTACTTGTTCCCAGTAGCAGTTGGTTATTGAAATGCTTTTACATAAATTATAGGTACTGGGTAATTCAGGGCATTCAAGCAAGCAGTGTTTGGTTTTTATGATTGTTGTCAGGATATGAGGCTTGATTATTTGAATTTGTAAGGGAAGATTATTCTGGGCAAATATTGTATGCATAGGTATGTTTGTGTAAAGGAACATGTAACCCACAAGCATATGTCTCTTTTTTAGTTGTTATTGCACTATGTGGCTGATAATATACAATGTATATTTTGTTGTATTGTCATGAAATGAACATGTATATAAATGAAAAAAATCTTAATTAAATTTCTCCATATCTCAGGCTTCCTCTGACAGAAGTGAAGGAATTGCAGTATGTATCTATGTTTGGATGAGATATCTTTCTAATTGTTTATTAAAAAGTGTTGGGTAATGCAGTGTAGCATGCCATGTGCTTATACTATGTCGATGCTTAACAGTAGTTGATATAGAAATATAGTCATTCTAAAATGAGTGTAACAGATATCTCAATTGATAAATATTTTTGGCCTGAGGAAGTGTATATGATAAATTTCCACCACTTGTCAGTATGTTTAGTATTGAAAAAAAAAGAAAAAAGAAAAAATGGAAGATTAATAACACAAAAACACAATCATATTCACACATACACCCAGATGTACATACATACAGGTACATACACAGGTATTTCTAAAAAAGAATAATTGAGCAGCTGAAGTTGTCAGTATTGAGTCACTCTTAACAGCTACATTAATAAGAAATAACTAAGGATTTATTTAATTCTATATCACGGCCTTATGAGATGAAGGTGTAGAGCAATAGTTTCCAACTTATAGCTCAGGGTAGCTTGAACTGTATTATGCAGCCCAAAAGGGTTCATTAAAAAGTTCTGATGTCTTTGCTTGTTTTCAGAGTTTTGAGTAAATGTTATAAGATATTGTAGCATTACTAATTATATATTCACATTTGCATTGTGGAAGAGGAGCTTTATATACGTTTAATAGATTTAGAATATTATTTGTAATGTACATTGTTTATGAAGCAGAAGATTACCATTCTTTATTTCAACAGGATCAACTGTACCACATCAACGTGTGTGGGCAAGTGAATGAAGGAAGGCACTACCACTGTCCTCCAGGAGTCATTGGTGCATGCCAGACCAGCTTTGATGCCTTGACAGCCCACAACCTGGGTTTCCTTACTTCACACCCAAGGGTTAATGAGGATGGCTCTCTTACCATTACATACACAGGTCAGGTCTTTTTGAACATCAAGAAATGTCTCGTGTGTACTAGAGTTGTTCTTTGTCTAAATAGTCTAAATAAAGTATTTTTTTTTTAAATTTTTTATCTTCATATGTTGTGGGAAGGGCATTTGAACACAAACCTCCATTCCAAGTAATTTTCCTTGAGATTTTAACAAGCAGTAATTATTATGTGGCTCTAATTTTAACATTGACAGCTTCTTGTGTGTATGTAATGATGTTGGAAGGTTATGATGATTAACGGTATCAAAAGATATGGGATTTGTTATCAATTGCAGAAATGCAAAATTTTATGGAAAAATTACTAATATGATAGGACCTTTAAGAAACATTCCTTTCTAAAATTTAATCAATAACTTATTTGTTTTTAATGGACATTCCTTCAGTTTTATAATTTCATAATTTTACCTTGTAGAAATAAGTTGTGTGTGTGAGTGAGTGAGTGAGTGAGTGAGTGAGTTAGCGAGCGAGCGTGCGTGCGTGTGTGAGTGAGTGAGTGTTGAATATTCATACTTCTCTTACTTAAAATGCTTATTCTTACCTACAGGTGGAGATCAGTGTCAGGATGGAAAACATGCACGCTCTACAAGAATCAACTTAATATGTAACGACATTGAATATGAACCAGTGTTGGTAGATGAAACTTCCACCTGTGAATACATATTCACATGGTTAACACCAGCTGCTTGTCCACGTCACATAAAAAAAGGGACAGATTGCTTAGTAGAAGATCCTCTTTATGGATATGTGTATGATCTAAATCCATTGAGAAATCAAATGAAAGATTATAATGTTACTGATGGAGAGCATGACTATTTGATAAATATTTGTGGACCCCTTGTATCAAAATGCAAAGGAGAGAACCAATCTGGTGTTTGTCAAATCAAAGGAGATGAACAATTTAGTGGAGGAATGGCTACTAGTAATATCACATTTAATGATGGGACATTAGTGATGAATTACAATGGTGGAACTGGAAGTTGTGCAGGCAATAACACAAGATCTGCCCAAATAATTTTCTTATGCGATCAGAATGCAAGTGGCAGAGATGGTCCTCACTTCTTCCATGAAGATGAAACTTGCACTTATCACTTTACATGGCTGACAATGCATGCATGCCCTCCATTTAGTGTTGTGGACTGCAGTGTAGTTACTGATAATGGGACAATTTATGACCTTAATGAATTGTCATCATCTAGTATGAATGAAGAATACTCTACATCAGCTGGAAATCAAAAGTTTGTGCTGAATGTTTGTAGGTCAGTGGTCCATAACAAAGAGAGTAGGTGTCCATACAATGCAGGTGCATGTGTAATTGATTTGAAGCACAAAGATAAGGCATTGAATATTGGAAAGGTTCACAGTGGACCTTATATAGAGGATGGCAATTTGAAAATAAAGTACAGTGGTGGAGATCCATGTGGTGATTCTACCCAGCTTTCTGAAACTATTATTCAGTTCAACTGTGATAAGGAAGAACTCTATGCATATCCACAACTGATAACACAAGAGGGTTGCAAATACATATTTGAATGGAACACACCTATTGCCTGTCCCATGCCACTTATAGACCATACCACAAGTGCTCCAGACACTAAGGGTAATTGTACTGCAAAAAATGACTTTACTGGCTATGTCTTTGATCTGAATTCTTTAAAAAAGAAAATGGGCTATGAAATACAGGATAGTGGTAAAGTCCATATTGTTTTAAATGTCTGTGATGAAGTAGATACAAAACGATGTCCAGACAAGGGATCAGGAGCATGTTCTTATACCCATGATAACCATACAGATAATGCAAGTGCTGGAAAAGCAAATGCAAACTTGCAGTATCACCTTGGTTTTCTTTCCCTTTACTATACTGGTGGACAAGCTTGTGGAAATGGAGAACAACGTTCCACTCTTATAAGCTTTATATGTGGAGCTGAAGATGCACCAGATATGCCTGTCCTTATACATGAAGACCTAGATAAATGTATCTATTATATCAACTGGTATACTGACTTGGCTTGTGAACGTAGGATCAATTGCTTTGTGGATACATGGGAACAGCGACTGGACTTGACACCTCTGATCAGGTCAACTAGCAACTATGAAGTTTCAAATCCTGAGAATCCAAAGCAGAAGTTTTACTTGAATGTGTGTAGACCACTCAACCATATCGTTGGCCTGAACTGTCGCCCAGGTTCCTCTGCATGTCTTTCTATGTCAGACTCTGAAGCCTTAAGTCTTGGCCAACCAATTACAACTCCACAATATATACCTTCAGATGAAATTCAGATGATTTATTCTCATGGATCTAAGTGCTTAACAAACTCTGCCATAGGGATTTCTTCACGAATCACATTTATTTGTGATTTAGAGGCAGGCAAGGTAAGATATAAGTATGTGTGTGTGTAAAACTTTAGTTGCTGACAATATGTTTTGCTATATATTTTTTTTATGAGAAATATTTCATTTGGTAATTCTCAGCATAGTTTTTGTTTCTAATAAAGTTCTTCTTTTTCAGGGAAGCCCAACATACAAAAATGTAACCCATGATTGCCAGTACCTGTTTGAGTGGCGAACAGCACTTGCATGTGAAAACCGCCAAAATGTCCCTGATTCAGGCCCTGTGTGCCAAATCCAGTTTAATGCTGCAAAGACAAATGTTAATCTGAAACCTTTGAACAGACCAGAGGGATATTCTGTTAAGTTTGAGGATAAGGAGTACAAAATTAATGTATGTGGGGCAGCTTGTGGTGAATCTGGTGTATGCACAAGTGATGGAACTAGTTTTGGTCTGAGCAGTAAGTCTGACTTAAATTGGGATTATGACAAGTTGAAGCTCATGTACTATGGTGGTGACAGTTGCAGTGATGCACTGTCAGGACAAAGAACCACAATCATATACTTTTCATGTAATATGAGTGCGGGATTGGGATACCCAGTCCCTGATCCAATAATGAGGGATTTAGAATGTGCAGCAATATTCAACTGGGAAACTAATTTAACCTGCATTGAAGCCATTTACAATATAGATGACTCTTCTCACAGCAAACCTATAAATTCTGACACAGTTATACCAGATAATGAATCTCATGAAGCTGAAAAACCTTCTGCTGAAGAAGGCAATAGTGATAGCCCTTCTGCAGACCAACAGCAAACGGAACCAGAGAGTGCATATTCAACAGTATCTGCTGCCATTTCCAGTGTCCTCATTGTTACAGGAATCATATTTGTGATTATCCTGGTTTTATTCAAGTCTGAGCGGGGACAGCAAGTGGTGTCATCTGCCAGGAGATTCTTCGGCATGAGAGGGTATTCAAACATAACCCAGTCACGCATGGAAAATTCCTCGCTTATAAGCCCATCTTCTTATGCTAGAGTGTACAGAGTGGATGAAAGTGATGATGATCTTCTTAATGTAGTAACCTAAATGTAGACAATGTACTATTTGCATAAAAGAAAATGATAAGAGTCCACTTCTAAAAAGTCATAAGGCTTTTTATAAATTAAATATTTTTTTTTAGTGGCAGCCTGAATCTTATGGATATTAATTTGAGCTTTCTTTTATGTAAATAATAAGGGTGTATGCAGAAAGTATTTAACCAAACAACCATTAACTCTGAGGAAGAACATTCTAATATTACTCCATAGCACAATCACATAACGCCTAAAAAGGTATTTTTGAGCACAAGGGCAACTAATAATTGGTAATTTGTAGTTACAGTACTAATGTATTTTGATTTCATTGTTATATATATATAATACACATTTACACATTTACACATTTACACATTTACACATTTACACATTTACACATTTACACATTTACACATTTACACATTTACACATTTACACATTTACACACACACACACACACACACACACACACACACACACACACACACACACACACACACACACACACACACACACACACACACACACACACACACACGAAAGATAAGTGTGTATATATAATACTGATATTTATAACATACACCTCTATATTTGCTTATGTATGAGGAGGCTAGAAATCTGTCTTGGCTGAGGTGAAGGGTCACTTATGTTGTGTTGAGTTGTCAAAGTCTTAAGCCTTAACTTTTTTGCAAAATTTGTAATCTGAAAGAGCAAACTTTTAGGGTCCTTGCACACCAAGAACCCTGAGGCTCTACAGTGAAGTTAATTGGTAGACGGAAAGGCCTATATCATAAGTGAAGTATCAGTAGAACAGCAAAGATAATTTTTTGGATATTATTTTTTTCTCAGATATTATGTACTGTGTTATCAGGGAAAGCACAAACCCTCCAGTTAACAATATATGACACTTACCTTTGTTGTCAGCATAAGAGGAAAGTGATGTTATCTCGTATGGCTTTGTAGTTGTTTAGTAATCTGTTTCTTGTCACTGGGTAATTTGTAAAGTAGTGGGAATCAGCTGATATTAGGGAATATCTTATTCTGATTTTAGTTATAGGATACTGTAACTGCTGTGACTACTATTTTCTAGAAACCTGAACTATCTAACTATTGTAACCTTAAAGGTAATCCTGAAATTCATTCATATGATTCCAACACAGGGTAATGTTAATATATCATTAGTGATATTGCCTACCTTGACAAGCAGTTTATCAACCAATTTGCAGTTTTCAAGGTAAAACTATTGGGTTTCATTTGAACTGTGAGACTCTGGCAGGGTTTGTGCATAAATCTTGTGATGTAGTTAACTTTGTGTAGAAACTGTCATCCTGAGAAGAGCTTTGGTGACCATATATATATAATTTGGTTCAGTCACACAGATTCACTTTGTATGTACAATAGTAATATCACCAGTTTATTAGAAAGGGTATTTAGTAGTGTCATATTCAGAAATCCACTCTTAGTCAGTCCTTAATAGCATAGGAGTTACTAAAAACTTTTGAGTGTCTTTATAATGATTTTGTTGATAATGTAGAAAATCCATTCAGTGTAGGGGGTGATTTTCAAACACACACAATTGATCAGAGTAAACTAGATTGAAGAAGAATTTGACTGTCTCTTAGTATATGGTTGAGTACAATTTACTCACTTACTGTTGGTTATAAACTTTGGTTAATTTTAGTTATATAGTTGATGATTATATTTGAAGGATGATTTAGTAGTAGGCTATATAATATTTTTGATTGATGAATGTCTTATAAACAGGTTGAATGTGAAAATGTACCTGATGGACAAGTTGAGTGGTTAGTGTAACATTTTGGAAAATAATGTATTAGTTAAGGATAATAATTTCAATAAGAACTGTTATTTATCATTTGCTTGCTTTTTATATGTATCTTCAAGCTTTAACCTTCTATTGCACTGCTGCTGTTTTTTTTGCATTTTTCTAATCTTCTCTAGGTAGTTGCTTTGGGATGGTAACCAAACTGTCATGACATTGAAAATACTAATTCAGCATCACTTGTTTGGTTCTAGTGACTTTGTGTTCTGTTTGAATGAGGTCAGTTACAGCTAAGTTTGAGGCATTGATTAGAAATAGCAGTCATAAAGTTTTATTACTAATATAATTAATTGTTATTGGTGAGCATGAAGTTTCAACACTATAAAAGAGAGAGAAAACATGTTATACCAGTTGTAAAATGTTTTGTATGTATTTTGAAAGGAGTCCAGAACACATTAAGATTTTTGTTCTTTTTGTTAAAAGAAAAGATGCACAATCTCCATAAAGAAATGTCTTTCAGATTGTTTGTAATCGATATTTTTCACAACAACATCATTATTGTGATATTATTTGGAGGTTTATGCTTATTTCCATTTCAAAGCTTTGATTGTTTGCATTTAAAGCTAGTTATTGTTTTATTGTTGAGAATTCCTAATTTCCAGTATCTGTAATTGGCACAAAAGCTAAAAAAAATACTTTTTGATATGTTCTCTATTTTTGTTCTTCACATCCTTTGTTCTTTATTTTTGTTCTTCAAAAAGCACATTTATATAATCAGAATTTAATTTTGAATAATATGTTTTGCATTTCTTGTTCTAGCACCTCCACTCTGCTCTTGGATGACATGATGTAAAACACCAGCATCTACATGGTAAAGTGGAATTCGACGGATGGGTAATGTTATTTATTCATCTTAAAGTAGGTTGTGTATCACTACTATATCTGTAGTGATTTATTTTGTTATAGGGCTGTATTACCATATTGTTATTATGAAGAAGATCCACTATTTAAAAGATTATCAGTGATAAAGTAATGAGCTATGTTGCATATACGTTTGATTATGTATTTTATTTAGCCTGTGTTTGAAATGTGAATATTCACCCTTTTTGTTTAATGTAGTAAGAAAACAAACTGCTATATATTTATAGTGAATAATTAGTAATGAGAAATCTATATTTGAAAATCATTGTGGTTACCCTTTTTTAATTTAGGGTCATTGCTCTGTCATTAAACTATTTAGCAGTGTTTACTTTTATGAGCTTAAATCATTGTTTTGTTAGACTACTGGAATTTGTTTTTGTTTTGTTTTGTTTTGTTTTATTTTATTTTATTTGAATATTGTGTTATCTTGTCTTTGAAGTAGTTATTTCAGTTGCTCAGCAACCCCAAGTAATGTATCCTAAACATCAACGTTCAAATACTGCTTTTCTAAGGAAAGATAAAATTTGTCCCTGTGGTAATTTACATGAGATGAATTGCTCTACCTACAGATTTTTCTTGAACTATACTTCAAAATTAATTAATACTTATGCTTCTATGTAATTTTACATAGACAAGAAGTTTGCAGACCTATTCTGTGTTCACAGTCATTCTCTTATATATCATGGGAAGCAATGTTTGATACAACAAAGGACTTGAGTACTGTAAAATAGAATTTAAAATTTGCAAGGACATTAAAAATTTACCCATTAGCTATGATTATTTTTAGTTAAATAATCAATAAGATTTAGTTTAAAGACTGATAATTTGAAATGCAATCTGCTTACAAGATATCCTGACTAACATATATTTGTAAAGGTTATTTTGGTGCTCATGATGTAATTAATGCTAGTCTTTGCAGGAGTAATATGAAGATGAAGAATGGTAGCCTTGCTATATAAATAAGAAAAATATAACACACACACACACACACATACACACACACACACACACACACACACACACACACACACACACACACACACACACACACACACACACACACACACACACACACACACACACACACACACACATATATAAAGAAAAGAAAAGAAAATATAGAAGCAACATAATACATACATGGAATATGCATTTATGTATAGTTGCAAGTTTTTGTAAAATCCAAGTAGACTAGTCATGTCGATACCAAGTTCACCCACTAGTCTATCTGATTTTTCATCTCATAAAGTGGACGTCCAGAAAAGCAAGTGTGGATTATTTATCTTATTCCAATATGTTCATACCTCATGCAATTTTAAGGTTACTGAGTACAAGGACCGTGTATACCCAAGGGGGGAATATACTGTCTTGTTGATATACTTTCCCTTTTCCCTCCTGGATGAAATGAGGTACCAGTTATGAATCTCCTCACATTTTTCAGATTTTTTAAAGATTTCAAGCAAAAGGTAATTAAATTATCATTTACTATATTGTGCAATTATATGAAAAAAAAAAAATTAAAACCAGTTCTTTAGTAGCTACTTTTCTAGTCTTTAACCCTACACTGATGGTGCCAGAATTTTCTGTGTGGCACTCATTCTGGCCAGCCCTACCTTCGTACCTTGCCAGAGTGAGTTATGAAGCCTTTAGCTGTACCTGTCATGATGAGTAGGTTTTTGATGACAGCTATCAGCGTGGCCATCTATATGAGGTTAAAAGACAAGAGGAGGTATTCGTTTACTAAAGCTTAGGTTGCAATAATATAATTTTTCTCCCATTTTATTTGATGTGATGTGTAAGCTTGCGCTTTTGTTTAGGGAAATCTCTTTTGTCAAGGTATGTTACTGCAGATTATTGGCATTGAGATTATTACAAGCAGTTAGCAGTAAAAATGCAATATTAGTCGTTAAACATATATACTTAACTTAACACATCACTATTTAAATATATCAGTCCATGACATTCAAATGAAGTAATATGATTTAACATGAATCAGGAGTCAGTAATGTACACAAATGTTTGGATATTTCTGTTTCAAGAAATATTTGCTACCATTTAAGAGTGATAAAAGACAAGATATAGAAGAAGGATTTCTTTGATATAGAGTAAGATAATTTCTTTGATTTTTGATGATATATAAGCAAAGGATGTTTGCTATAAAGAGGTCTTCAGTAAAATTGTAATTTTTGTAGTGATATTCATTCTTTCCATTATAGGTTATTTTCTTTTCATGTTGTGATCTTGTGATGTTTGTATATAACGAATATAGCTGTATATCCAAAGTGTGGTCATTTACCTATTTAAAGTTGAATTGTAGGTTATTTATCTATACATTTTGAGTGTTGAGTGCCTGCATAACATATAGTATATTTAATTGTGACAAGTTTTAGTACATACCAAAAGAATGTCACATGCACATGCTTATACACATACACAGCATAGATACAACACACACTCACTTGCTCAGATGAACCCTCTCACCCAACCACTCATTCAGTCACCCATCCACCCATGCACATTCACTGAAACTCATTCACCTACACCCTCACTCATCCACGTGCTCATCCACCCACACCCTGACCCATCCACATGTTCATCCACCTACACGCTTGCCATCCACAAGTTCATCTAGCCACACACTCACTCAGTCAACATTCATGCATTTATTTACTCACCCATTCACTCAAACTCACACACACACTCACTCTCATGTACTCAACACACATGCTCTTGCTTAATGACAAATGTACACAAACTTATATACACCAGCAGTCATATTTATTCATAAGAGGCTTATGAGTGTTACCTTAGGTAATTTCTAATTGAATATGTGTATATAATGGAACTATGGTCATTGCTTCTCTGTATAAAAAACATTTGCTAATGTAAAAATGTCACATGATTTCTATAATATGAATCTTTGTTAAAGTTTCCTTACAAATCTCCCAATATTTCTTAATTTACATTAGTCAGTCTTGATTTTTAATTTTAAAAAGATACAAGAAAATGGATATGAGTAATATGAAAATGTTTATGACTGATGTTAAGAGTAAACTTGGGACACATGCACAGTATAATTGTATTTTACTTATATCATACTTTGAACAAGTGTAGATTATACCAAAGCACCTACTGTACTCTTGGTATTAGTATAATTTCAAAAGCTTGCTACAAGAAAGTGCCTTCAACATTTATTATTAAAAGCTATGATAGGTCTTAACTAATGAAATGATGGCATATTTCAGTTTTCATGTTAATAATTTGGAAAAGAAAAATGTATTTTGTTGTGGTTGCAATCTAAAACTAGAAATTACAGTAAGGCAACTTGTAGTAATCAGTCAACCAGTGTAAGAATATGGTATTCAACAATTGGCTTTGATTGAAGTTAAAATCTTATATATTCAGTGATGTTATACATTCCAGGGTAAACAATCTCCATGAAGGAATTGGCAAGTTTTTGAAGTTAACAGTACTACCTGGATGAAAGTAAACAGAAGTACCTTCTTCCATTCTGTAAATTCAAAAGGCTGTGTATGAGACAAATAAACATGTAAAATTATATATACTTTTATTAACACAAAATAATCAAAAGCATAGAAGAATCCTGTTTTGCATACAATTTTACATCCATTACTAGAGAACACAAGCAGATGTGCCTGGAGCAAAGAGCTTTATATTCTTGTCCTCCATTTTATATTGAAAATGCTGAACTTTAGGCAAACAAAGGTGGGGTTTCTGACGGTCGTATAGTATCAGTTTAAGGTCCCCGTGAACTTCTCTTGAGAGTCCTGTACTAAGGCCACGAACGGATAGGTGCATCATAGCATTGTGTGCAATTGAATTTGTTACATGGCTTACATCTTCATCTTTCTCATCATAATTTGTTACAAGAACCAATAATCCAATTGGCTTTGCAGAAGCATGATTTATAAGACTACTGCAATACTGAATAAAGATGTCCAGATCTTTTGTAGTAACACCAAGTGAAAGTAGGGAGGTTATACTGTCTACTATCAAGAGAAAGTACTTTTCTTTCCAAAGCTTTACGGTTTCCTTTATTAAGCAATATAAGTTTTTAAGTGGATACTTGCAGTTTTCCATAAGAAAGCCAAAAGGATGATCTGAAATATCTTCTACAACTCCATCAAGAACTTCAGAAGTCATTTTCAATCCCTCAATAACTTTCACATGACCTTTTTCTGCGTGTTGTCTTAAATTTACACCTAATTTGTTTCCGATGTTACAATAATGGCTCCAAGTTTGTTGTAGAGTGACAAAACATACTGGATGGTTATTTGAAATGCCCCATGAAAGAAAATGAGACACCAGTCCATTTGCAGAGGCAGTCGCAGTTTCTGATACCAAAATCACACCACCATTTTCTAAAGTTACACCGCTGCCTCCTAAAGCATTCTTCATCGATTCAAACATCCTGTTAAAATGGAAAGGTTTATTAGTAAGTGAAATACTATACAATTTCAAAATATTTACTAATTAAGTAATGGACTAAAAAGAAAAAACTTTGCATAATATATTGGAAACGACTAAAGACCAGTGAACTCATTCATTTTGCAGGTTATACTAGACTTTTCTATACATTTTAAACCCACTCATGATGAATGCCATCCTATCCCATTATGGGTAATGAACCTAATGCCTTCTATCTCTCTCTCAATCACTTGCTCGTTGTTGGGCTTAGGAGACAGAGACTTCGGCCCAATATAGGGGAGAAGAAAAGACCTTACAAAATTAGTTGAGGTGAGAGCTAAGGTCTAAGATAGAGGTATCTTGAACCTAAGCCCTCGCCTCAACTAATTTTGCATGTTCTTTTCTTCTCCCCTTTTCCTTTTCCTTTTCTTCTTCATCCCCTTCTGTCCACCTCCTAAGGTGTGAGAGCCATGCTGACAGGATGAAAAGCAAGCTTTGTGTCAGTCTTGAATGGCCCCTGGGAGTCTTGTATAATTGCCTAGCCCTTACCCCTTATGGGGTCCCTGAGGGGTAGTTTCTTTTCCCCAATTATTACAGGCTCACCATGACCCCCTACCTCTCCTTTGACTACAGCTCTGACCACTGATACTAATACCCATTCCTAATCATCAACCTGGGTCATTACTCAACCTTCAGAATACACCCCTTCCTCTCTCCCAAATCCTCCACTCCATCTACTGCATAGTCTTTTTCATTGTCTACTCCCTCCCCCCTTATTACTATTCTTCATCCCTATTGTCCTCTTTCCCACAGTACTACCTCACTCAACACCACCCCATCTTCCTCCCACCTTTGTCCTTCTACTGCTTCCACCTCTGCAAACCTTTTGAGTACTCTGTCTGGCCGAGCCAAGTGGGATCAATTCTTTGTGATTCCCCTGCGACACCTTATTCTGACAATACCCTACTCTCCAACAATGTCTCCATAAACAAATAGGCAATGTTTCCTTTTGCAGTCATTCTGATTGTTCATGATCCCAAGTTTATGTCCTATCTACCCTGATTGATCTCACTGGCAAACCAATTCCTGCACAGTTTAACACCTCCCTTAATACTTATACCACAACTGTTTCTGTCTTCCTGATTGATAGTCCTGTCTACAACAAGGACTGGTCAGATTGAAAACAACCTGCTCACCTGCCACACTGACTGTGGCTGTACAGTGCCACACTATTCCTCCGAGAAGCCAGAGTAAGTCCTAAAGCAGATTAGCTTTGGGAGACATGACCTCTCCCATGATATTTATATTGGTGGAGTGTTCTGCCTTGTCCATCCATATCAACCCTTTCCTTGTCAATGTCAGACAAGTAGGCATTTTGGTGACCAGCCAAATACTGTCATTCCATAGCCTGCTGCCCTCTATTTGCCAAACCTGGTCATGACCATTCAAATTGCTCGTCTCAGTCATGAATGTGTGCCAATTGTGGTGGCTCCCATAATGTATTTTGTAAGAGCTGCCCTGCCTATAAGCTCTTATGAGGTAGCAGTTCTGATTCAAACTAGGCCTCACTCTACACAAGGTCAGACAGGAAGCATGCAGACTAGAGATTTTTCTCTTTCTATTCCAAAACTACCTTCACTCCATGCCCCTCCCATCTTCTAAGGATGCCTCAGCATCACCCCCAGTATCTCTTCCCCCTACCCCGAATCATCCTACCACTACTCCATCTCTCCCTTAGTCAAATTTCCTCTCCTCCTTCTCATTCTACGTATTGCACTAGACAATCTAAATGTTCCACCCTATCTTCTACCACATCCTCTGCTCCTTGGACATCTATCCAACTCAACTGTAGAAACTTGAAGACCTCTAAAACTTCTTAACCCAATGCCAACGGGCATGACGTGTACATACTAAGTCACCAATGAGCCAATTACGAGTAATGCCTGTCTCACCCACTTACCCTTTTCTTTGATTTACGAAAATATTTTTCGTTATCTTATTTTGCTGTTACTAATATTTATAACATTATAGTAATTATAATGTTTTTCATAAAAATAACACCATCGATATTCATAGCACTAGTAAAAAATACATTTTTCCTGCCAATTCAAATTACATAAGGTCACAAGATCTACTAACTGACTCCTTTGTGGCTAAGTATTAGCACAGCCATCTATGTGCAGAGACATTTCCCAAAAATATAGAAAATGAGCACAGCATTTTCCCCATTTTTTGTTAATTTTCCCCGGCGGCATTGGGTTAAACATGATCCAAGAGAATGCTCCACTCCGATATCCATCCTCCTCCTCCTCAAGTTCCCTCTACCCCTCTTCCTCAAACTCTCCCCCAAAAGACTCCATGCTCTCCTTTTCCATGTGCACCACCATTCCCTCTTGCTTCCCAATTATCCTTATCACTCGTACCTGGATGCTCACATGACTCAGTACTGTCACAATAATGTCCTCTGGATTCCTCCCTTCCTGACATTTTTTCTGATATTTTCTCACCTTCCCCTGTTCCCTTATCTAATTCTCTGGATTCTTCTACTTATCCAACTACCATTTCTATCCATATTACCTGCTGATTGTTTCATAATGGCTCTTTTGCAGTTTTTCTCATATAGTGTTACTCTTCCTTCCTCAGATATACTCTTACTGTCCATTTGATCTAATCGCCCTATATTCTTAACCTGTTTCCCTTTTACAAATCCTTGCCTTACTCCATTTGCTCTCAATTCTTTACCCTTTTTGCTACCATACTATTCTACAGTGCTCTACAACCTATGACATCCAACACATTTTATCCTAAACGTTAACTCATTTTTACCCTTTTTGTCACAATACTTGATCATGATATATGACGTTTGATCTCTACCACATATATTTGTTTTAACCATTAGCCATTCTGGGAATACACAAACACTGCCTCATGAACAACAACAACGAAGAATTCCTTACTTGGGGCTTTGCTCTGAAGCATCAGTCTATCACTGTATTTTGAATATGCCGCTAATGGCCTTAGATGTTGTTGCAGCAGAAAATTTTCAATAAATAAATAAATAATGCCATCCACCAAGCCTGCTCTAAGTTGTGTGCACTTAACAGTTGTTCACTTGTTTAACCTTGGATGCGGTCATTGAGAAACAACCCATTAAATGTAAGCTTAAACCTCTTTTTAGCCTCATTACCTAAATAATCATTTATGCTACAGTTGAGAGCACAGAGAGTTGAGTAAACTTATAAGTTTTCCTTCAAGCAGATGACTACCCACATCCTTACTATGGTTTGGGGACAGCAGCTCAAATCATAAGTAGGTTAATAAGATTATAGTGACATGCTAATTTATTAACCCATTGGTGCAGGGTACATGTAGTGTATATTGTAGTTTTGTTTGTGAATTTTGTTTACACAGTTGACTCCACAAGTGCTAAGTCACAAAGAAGTCTATAAGTAAGCCTACTGACCTCACCTGATTTTCCAAAGCTGTATATTTTTTGGCCTTTTTTATTATAACTACTATTATTACTACTATTACTGTTGTTGGTACACTACTACAATTCCAACATTATTAACATTACTATTAGCAAAAAAAAGGTAAACAGGTAAGATCAGGTTGGACTAGTAATTGACTCTTTGGTATCTTTTGTGGAGCCATCTATGAGTAAACAAAATTAATAAATTAATAATCACAATAGACATGTACAAATCATTCTAGAGTTAACGGGGCAATGCCCTAACATGTTTCTCTCTGCACGTATAGCAAAAACTGGTAGTATGGGGTATTTTCCATAAAACTTAAATTATCACTCAAAGTTTAGACAAACTCATATGGAAATAAAAGATCAAAGAGGACTATTCAATTTTTGTTTTATTACCTTTGTTTTTGAGAAATCACTTGCCACTCTCCATATGTTAAGTGCCAATTTACAATAAATATGCATTAGAAGCTAAGGTGAGCTGAGGTGCTGTAGCAACGAGTTTTCCAATTCAGTCGTAAAATGAAATAGGAGTAGCTGAAATTTCAACTTTATATGATTTTTTAACTGAGTATACTTTGCACTATGTAGCTTGAAAATAATATTTTCAACAGGAATAACTTGAAATGGCCAATGGAAGAGAAATAAAAACTATGAAACACACTCATTTTGGACTTTCAATTTAAATGTGCAATATTTAAAAAATCTTCATGTGGAATTTAATGCAAGAACCTTGAGACCATACTACAGCTTTTATTTGAAAAATACAAATCCATCCTATCTTCAGCTAACTCTATCAATTGAAAAGTAATAGTCATTACTTTCAATCACAATAACAAATTCGGTGAAGAAGATTGGGTGAATCTTTTCCAGTTTATAATTACTGTATCATGTAAATCCAAAATCCTAACCTAATCTTTCCTACCTTCTATTTATTCCCTAGACTGGGGGGCAAGCCCCCAGTATCCTCTCTTTATTAGCACTTTGTGCCTACTTAAAAAAAACACGAGATTAAGAACTTCGGCTGTGAGGGTGTTGTGGCTATTTTTGTCATTTCCTGGTAAATATGAGAAGGCTGCAGACATACCTATAATGCTTCTTTTTCTATTTTTTATGCTCTGTAAAATGGCAGTCTCCATTTACCTTTATCTCTGTGTGTTGCTCTCTGTAACATTAACTAAAACCACTAGGTAGGGCCGGTCTGCAGAGTATGGCACTTTTCTACGAGCTCTCCGGTGGGCAAAGGGAAAACCCTTGGTGAGCCAGAGTGCACCACCAGACATTCTGGTGTGCTGGTGTGCACCAGCAAATTTGCTTTGAACTGATATTTCACTAATGCGAAGG